TCCTGCTCCTGATGCTGCTTGGCCTGCTGTGTTCATCCAGCTCTACACCTTGTTATCCCAGCCAATCTTTTCCTTTTTACATGTCCAAAAGCAGACTTTCCAGTCCACCTTGATGTTCCTTACTGGTTTGCATTTGTAGCCTTCATTCTCTTTCTTAAATCAGTTTCTTGGTTCTCCTTTGCTGGGTTCTAAATTGTTCCTAATCCCTAGTCCTACTTATTCTGTTATCTTTATTAGTCACTTCTTTTCATCTAAGGCAATCATTAACTTAATTTGTTATCCACAGTTAATTTAACTTTATTTTGGGAAATTTTGTAATAGATCATGTCTAAATCTCTAAATACAAGCATTTGCCAGTCTCCTGTCAAATCTTTCACTGTACTTTCCCACTCCACCATCCATCTTAAAATTTCCTTTCAGATTTCAGACCCTATTTTCAGAATGAACTATACTGCAATCAAATTTAATGCAAGATTTTATCACATTACTACTCCCCATAGGCTCCTGTATAGTTAGTTATTAATTAGCCCTCTGAACAGACAACATTAAGTGCAACTAGCCCAATCCCTAGTCAGCTCCTCAATATACTGCTCTAGAAACCCAATTCCTACACACTCCAGAAATCCATCCCACACAGCACTCGTGCTGATTTGACTAAACCAATCTGGGTAAATTGAAGTTGCCCATTATTATATTATTAGCCACTCCGCACACATCTCGAATTTCTAAATTTATGCTGTGACCAACATTCCTTGTACAGTTTGGTAACCTATACACAATCTGTACCATGATTTACCAACCCTTTCTTTTGCCTATCTCTCCTAATATGAACATCCTTGGATACCCTGCTCCCAAATCTTGGTCACCTTGCAAGCATGTCTCTGTAACGGCAGTTGATTCATAGCATTCAAATGAATGATGTAGGTAAACAGCTATTATACTAAGAATGCATTAAATTCTAGTTTATCATTGTTCTTTATTCCATTTGGTTTTGATGTTTATCCATCCTTTACTCTGCTTCTATTTTTGCTTTGTACTTCCTTTTAACCGCAACATTTCCCTTCAAACTGAGCTCCCTGTCAGATTCACAGTCCCCCCTGGATCCAGATAAACCCTCTAAAACAGCACTAATGAACTTTCCCTGTAAGGATGTCACAGTCCTGCTAAGACGCAGCCTGTGTTATACCCGATACCAACGCGGGTACTCTTCTACCAAGTATTCAATCACTCAATTCCCTTAGGTCTCCGCTTGATAGCGGATGGGTCCGGAGTCAACTTGAGATTACCACCTTGGACATACTCCTTTTTGTTCTGCTTACTAGAACACGTCATTTGCTTTCAGGATCTCATCTCCCTTCCTACCCAAGTTACTTGTACCAAAGTGGACCACTACCTTGAACTGTACACTCCCTGCCCAAAAGGATTTCATGCAGCTGCTCTGTTACATCCTTGACCCGGTCACCAGAGAGGCAACATAGATTTAGATTCATTGTCACATGTTATATACAAAGTGTTACCGTGTCCCAGCACCTTCTTGAAACGCTGAATACAATGCAAGATTTTACCGCAACCGAGTTCATCTTTCTCTTCCACTCGTCAGGTTCACAGTCACCCAAACAGGTGTCTGTTCTCTTATCCCGAAACATGACAACTCTTGCCTTCTTGTTCATCCCCTCCTGTATGGCTGAACCACCAGTGGTGCCGTAAATCTAGCTGTGACTGCATTCCTCCAAGGACCTAATGCCCTCACAGGTTTCTAAAGTGGAAGACCAATTAGCAAGCAGGATATTAAAAGGACTCATACTACCTGTTGCCTTAGATTGCCTAGCAATCACCCATTCACCTTCTACCTCCATGGCAGTGTAACAACCTCTCTGCACATGACATCAACACAGCTTTCAGCCTTGCTGATGCACTACAGATGACTCCAACTGCTGTTCAATTTTGGAAACCAAAAGTTCAGCTCTTGATGACACTTTCACTACTTTTGATACAGCTGTGTCCTAATCACCCAAAATATGACAAGCGTTCCATGTGACTAAGTTGCCCTACATGCCTTTACTGCTCTAAAAAGGTAACTATTTATTTGGTTTTATCAATATTTGTTAAATTAAAGCTTACTCATACTGATAAACGTGGCTAATGCTTAACACTACTCATTGCAATGAATCTTTTTAAAAGAAACTTGCTTCTCCAGTATATCTAATTTGTTATTCATTTGGTCCATGTCTCACTCAGATGTAGTCTCTTGATCATTTACCCTTTACTGCCTTAATCTACAATGGTTTCCTTTCATAATTTGTTCACATGACAATTAATTTTGCCCTTAACTTGGACATGACAATAGAGCAGAAAAAAATTTAAAACAAGGACAAAAACAAAAATTTGCTGGAAAAGCTCTGCAAGTCTGGCAGCATCTGTGAAGAAAAAATCAGAGTTAATGTTTCGGGTCCAGTGACCCTTCATCAGAACTGATGGTAGCTAGGAAATTTAAAATCTTGCTTCTGACAATCAAATGTGAAGGTGGGCAGTGAAGATGATAGCAATTAACTGTAGGCTGAAGTACAAACTCAGAACACCAAGGTAAAGACGAGCAGTGTCTGACATCCACAGAACACAACTGCCAGACCTATGATCATAATACAAACTAAAATCCGTTGTGGACACAAGGCATCTGGTCATTTGTTTACTTCTGGCAAAGATATTAATACAATTTCTTACAAAGTGGGGGGAGCGAACAGATTAAGCAGGGGTTCACTTACCTGATTCAAGGTTTTCACTGAGCTAGGAAAGATCTGCACAGAAGAGTTTTCAGCAGTCTACAAAACAAATAATGGTAGAATTATTAAGAGATGCTGAAAGTCATCCTTGTTTTTCCAGGAGGAATCAGCTCCCCAAGTGGAAACAAAAATCCCAGCAATTTCATTATTTGTCCTGAAAACAGAAGCGAGCATGACAGCAAGATGGGGAATGGAGAGAAAACACAGGCCAAGGGAAATAGAAGTCTCCATGCAAAGCCATGGTGGTGGGGGTTTTAAAGGCACACGAATGAAGGCATAACCTTACCGAGAGACTGGCTCCTGACTGAAACAATTCATAGGGATAGAGTATTCTCTCGTAGTGGGACCGTAACAGCGAGCCAATGCCCTTTCCTTGTGGGTAACTCATTCGACTGGCTACTTTGGCCCATTTTTTCTCCTTACACAGCACTTCAAATCCACCCTCACTTGCAACCACCTGCAAG